AACACCACCTCAAACTTAAATGTTACCTTTTTGTATGTTTAAAGAGTATTATAACCATGTGGTAGTTAATAAAACAATACATATTTTTTTTTCCTTTTGAAAAGAATGCCTAGTTACTCTACTTGGGAAGCATATCTTAGCTGGGTAAGATATGAGGTAGAATGAGGTAGAAGTTACATCTTCTTCTGGAAAGAAGTCTGAGGGCAGCTGGACTCTTGCCTGCCAGATGTGAGATCTTCTTCTACATGGATACTTTAAAAGTCTCTCTTTTCTAGATACTGATAGCTCACACCTATAATCCTAGCTACTGGGGAGATTAAGATCTGAGAATTGTGGTTCAAATCTAGCCTGGGTAGAAAAGTCCATGAGACTCTTATCACCAGTAAACTACTCAGAAAAAGCCGAAAGTGGCACTGTGGCTCAAGTGGTAGAGAGCTAGCCCTGAGTACAAAATGGCTCAGGGACAGCACCCCAGTCCTGAGTTCAATCCCTAGGACAGACCCCTCTCTGCCCCCTCTCAAAAAAAAGGTAGGAGCAGGCCAGAGTGGGTGCTGGGGGTGGGTGGGAGCAGTGGTATATCGAGCTACTCTTGGACACTTCAGAATCTTCTATACCTTTGGATGCCAAATTTCAGGTATTGTACTGGTTACTAATAGCAAATTTCCTCCCCAGTTTTATATACGTTCTTTTATTTTGTTAGGAATAGAAGAAGAACTTGTATCTATATCTAGAAGTCTTTATACACTTTTTTTTTGGCTGTGATGGGGCTTGAACTCAGGGCCTGGGCACTGTCTCTGAGCTTCTTTGGCTCAAGGATAGTGTGTTACCACTTGAGCCACAGTGCCAATTCAGGCTTTTTTCTGTGTATGTGGTACTGAGGAATCAAACGTGGGGCTTCATGCATGCTAGTCAAGCACTCTACCACTGAGCCACATTCCCAGCCCTCCATACACATTTGTAAAGCAGCATTTGTTATCTCTGTCTTCCAGGTCTGACTTGTATCAACAGCTGTTGAAACAATCCAAAACAAGGGCAGACTGACTGGGTCCTAAGCAGTGAAGTTACAAGTCTGAAAGGTGTCAAAAGTTCTAGACTGTCCCAACCAGGCAGGCAAAGTTTCCCCCCCCCCTTTTTTTTTTTTGGTCAGCCGTGGGGCTTGAACTCTGGGCTTGGGCGCTCTTCAGCTCAAGGCGAGCGCTCTACCACTTAAGTCTTCTGGTTTTTCTAGTGGCTTATTGGAGCTAAGAGTCTCATGGACTTTCCTGCCCAGGCTGGCTTTGAACCACGATCCTCAGATCTCAGCCTCCTGAGTAGCTAGGATTACAGGCGTGAGCCACTAGCACCCAGCAAGTTTCCCTTTTTGAAAAACATGATCTTGAAATTCTGATTTAGGCTGGGCACTGGTGGCTCATGCTGACAATCCTAGCTAGTTAGGAGGCTGAGATCTGAAGATCAGGGTTCAAAGCCAGCCTGGGAAAACAAATCCATGAAATTCTTTTTATCTCCAATTAACCAGAAAAAAAATGCTGGAAGTAGAGCTGTGGCTCATGTGATAGAGTACTGGTCTTGAATGAGTAATGAGGTCAGGCCTCATTACTAGCACAAAAACAAACAATTAATTGATTAATGAATTTTAAAAAAACCCTAAAAGAATGTCAACTACTTACAATCAGTAGAGGTCCTTACTTCATGGAAAGGTGAGACGCAGCTGACTGGCCAGGTGGTTTCTGTATAGTATGACCTCCATCCCCACAGCTATGAGCAGGTGAGAGGAAGCCTCACAGGGTGACATCTACTAAGCAGAGAGGAAAACATTAAGATGTTTTGCTTTGGGGGAAAAATGTGACCTTCGAAGAGCATGAGAGAAGTGGGGAGAGCAAGAATGCTTCATGCTAGCCAAAGCCCTAAAGGAAGCCATTGGGAAAAGAGACAACTAAAGAGAAGTAAATCACTCAGGCAAGACTCCAAATGGGACAGGCCTGCGGTGATAGCTGGGCCCAGAGGGCCTGGCGGGGGTGGAGGGGAGAGGGGGAGAGGGGGTTGAGGGATGAAGAGACAGGGCCCAGCAGGTGGGGCTCTACCCCCTCCCCCAAATAGCTCTACTCTCATGTGCTTTATATATGGGGCAGCTAAAAATAAGTCAGAAAACCACATCTCTGGGGGGAATTTATTCAGAGAACTAGAAAAAAAAACTAAGGATCTAACCAAGAATCTGTGTGTGTGTGTGTGTGTGTGTGTGTGTGTGCGTGCGTG